AGCAGCACAGACAGAGATGCCAACCTGTCTCTGAGCAAACAGAAAGACTTGGGCTGAAGCCTTAGGTAATTCGAAGGAGACCCCTTGTGTGTTTTTCCAAAGTTGGCTGCTGGCTATTTTTTATTTCCCCCCCTCTGCTTTTCCCTAAGGCATGCAATGGCCTGTGCCATTCTCCAGCTAAAAGGTCATTGATTTTTTGGAAGAATTATCAGGTTCATCATCTTCTGCAGATTATAACGAACAGTATCCTTTTTCTGCTTCCTGCAATCTCAGCACTGGTGTCTGAGCTTGGAAAGGAAGCTTGAAAGCACAGTTTGTTTTTAACACTGGAGAAACAGTTCCATGCTCTGGTGGGGTGTTGCAGGGAGGTCTCTGGTCTGCTACAGGAGTCAGAAATCTGTTGTGTTCATGTGCTGACTCACTCTAACTCTGCCTCTCTGGGCCAAGGGAATGGCCACTCAACCCAGCAGAAGAGACCTGGAGGAGGGTATGAGCTGTGGTTTTCAATCTGTGCTCTGAGACTTGCAATGGGGACAGAGAGGGAACAGCCTCCCTTGAGCATGACAGTGGCTTCAAAAGGAAGGATTACTGAGACAGTTCAGTGGCAAAGGCAATCCAACTATAAGGAGAAATCACATCCTACAGAACGAGACTGGACCTGTCCCTCTTCCCTCAACAAAAGGTTTTCTGAATTTCACCCCATTTCATCAGTGTGAAATTTCTGCTCTGGTTTTGGAGGAACTGGAATCAAAGGCCATGACTTCAAATGATGCTGAGATGATGTTGATCATACACTGGGACCTGAGAGGAGGAACTCTCACTGAAACTCACTGAACTGAGAGCTGGGATCGAGGTGCATAACTCCAAGTCCTTTTTTTATCTGAAGACCCCTATCCACTCTTTTTGTTTTTCCACATCAGTGATTAGTCAACAACTTGAGGAGAGATTAATTAGAAACTTCTGTAATGACTTCTTTATCTTTCGTCCTTTCAGGTTTCTGTCCCTGAATCTCTCCTGAAGTCCCCACATCCCTGGCATTGAGCACAATGTGATGACTGCACAGAGCAGCTCTCTGAGAGGATTTCATTTTGGCTGAAACAGGATATGTGGAGGGAGGCAGGGCAATGGGGGAGCAGGGCTGAAGGAGAATTAGTTGACAAGGAGAAGCATGTGAAAGAAAACAAGGAGCACTTGGGACTCTGGATGAAAAGTAGTTCATCCCTTCTCAGCCCATTAATAAGTTAATAACTTATCAGAGATTAACTTAACACCTTGAGGCACAGAAGACATTGCCTTGTTCTCACATTAGCTTGGCTCTATTGTAATTCCTTTATCTTACCTTTTTTCCCCCTCAGCTATTGCATACTCACCTGGGGCCACACTAATATAACAGCATAAGATTCAATTACAAAAGACTACAATAAGAGTGCAAAATTCTCTTCCTGACATGCTGAATCAGTGCTCATAAGCATTAATTATTGAGTGGCTAGTGGAATTATTTTAAGTTGTAGTGGAGAAAGGAATAAACCCTATGGTTTCCCCTGTGCACAGAGCAACAATTCTCCCACTGGGATGTCCATGGCTTTACCAGCTCTTGGGGCAAGGCACAGGCAGGAGGGGCAGGGATGGGACTGGAGGAGCCAGGAAAATATGAGATGTTGAGAAGGAAAGGAGGGGAAAAGAGAAGAGTGCCAAGCTGGCACAGTCCCCTCCTGAGGAAGAAGAGCCCCAGGGATGTTTGGCACTTTTTATTTCCCTTGGTGTAAGCACAAGGCTTTTCATCACAAAGGAGAGGAGGGGGCCCATGTGAGGGGAAAGATAAAAGTCTGGCCACCGGGTCTCTGCTCTGCCTGGATGGGGAATATTCTTATCAGCACATTTGATGTCTTCCTGAGAGCCTCAGCATTGTGTCCAGCACTCAAACATCCCTGTCCCTATCACCAGAGCTGCCACTACCTCAAGCTTATCTCTTTGTTACAGGAGCCTCCATCTCTGGAGTACCTAAGCACATTTTACATGGTATCAACACAGAGAACAAAGTAGCTCGTCCTTTCACTGCCAGCTTCAGAGAAGCTGGGGTTTGAGGGGACCGTGGAGATTCAGCTCTTCCTTATCTGGCAAGGTGCTTTCAGACTGGGACTTTGAGGCAGAGCAATGGGAGATGCTTATGCTGCTGCTCTTGATTTTGTGAACCAGGAGATGATGCCAGGATTTAGATAGGTTAAAGCCCCTTCCTTTCTCCACACAAAGTCATGGAGTGTAACATCTGTCAGTATCTCCTCATTTTCAGCTACAGATGGGTTAGATACACTAGAGCAAATGGAATATTTTTGCTGCACAGATCCAATATTTGCTTCCAGATTTCTTGGAGCAAATATAAAGAAAAAGCAGAGCTCAGGGCATGGGTTTGCTTGGGATATCCCAGCAGAGAGAAAGGGTTGTCCAGTTATTTCAGCTGGAGCTACTCTAGGCTCACAGATGCCACTACAGAGTTACGTTACGATGACAAACACCAGATGCAATTCCCTCATCCCTCTGTCATGACTCTCCTTTTCTATATTTAAACGTACATATTCTGTGGGGATGAAGACTTGGCTTCTGAAAATGTGCAAAATTCTGCTGCCCCACAGGGTTTTAGTCTTGTGTTCAGATGCACCGTGACAAAATAAACACCGTGTGTGCGAGAGGGAGTGAAGAGGATGACATCAGGATTACAAGCAGTGTCAAAGGAGACAGACTTGCCTTTCACAGGCGATATTTGCATGTGTAACACAGGCTCCAAAGACTTCTATCGCCTCCCTCCTTTGCCAGCGCTGTGTGTTATGCATTAAACATATGGCTCCACTTAAACCAGGGGCCAGGCTCCCTGCGTGGGGCGAGCGATTGCTGCGGTCGCCCCTCGTCCTCTGCGGATGGGGAAGTTTGGCAGAGACGGTGAGCAGGGAGGAGAGATGGAATTCCATTAGTCAGCGATGGCATGGGAGCTCGTAATCCGATCCTGCCCACAAATGTCACACCCTGCGCTCACTGGAAAGGGAAGCAGAGGCAGCAGGACCTAACAGACCCAGGGCTGACACCATCATCCATTCTGGGCTTTATCCAAAAATGACAAAGCTTGTTTAATCAGGAGTCAGAGATCTTAGAGGCCAAAGATCAGCTAAAGCTGCTTTTTCATGGGCAGGATAGATGACACTCTGTAATACCTTTAATTGGACTAAAACATGAAATTGCATGTTACATGCTTGTGCTCACATCTGGAGGGATGTGATTTAGAATCATATAATCAAATGTGTGTTGGTGAAAGACAGCATGACATGCCTGCTCTCCGTTCACAGCAGAGGCAGTGCAAAGGGACCTTCACCCTCCACCCTGCTAGATAACAACCCACACTGATGAGCTTGCTGAACATTCATGACCTCATCTTTCCTGTGATCTCTGCTGATGCAGATACAGTGCAGTGTCTTCTGGTTTTATTTTATTATTTTATTTTATTTTATTTTATTTTATTTTATTTTATTTTATTTTATTTTATTTTATTTTATTTTATTTTATTTTATTTTATTTTATTTTATTTTATTTTACCTATCTATAAACTTATGTTACACAGGACCTAGCAGGTGATGGCTATTTCTCTTTGCACCTTGGGAGATGAACTAGATTTTGTCTGATATCTAAAAATTAAAGGGTCTACATCTCATTTCTTATTCCCTGAGGCATTGATTTTGGTATTCTATAAAGTTATGGATTTGAGTGGAGATTGCTCTGATGTTCTTACCCATTCCCCCAGTAGCAGAGAAAACTGCAAGGTGGTGACCATTAGTGCAACAAATCAAAAATGCCTCTGCAAGCAAGTCACTGTAAGTACAAATGGCTCCCACCTCTCCCTTCCTCCTCCTTTTCTTCCTCTCTTCCCAGTTCCGGCCTCTCTCTCCTTAAAGAAGTTGCAAGGCTTTGTGTTTAATTAAGACATATTGTCCAACCAATTGGGAAGCAGGAAATAACAGGAGATGTTTTACAAATAGGAACAATTCTTGTTCATTATCCCTTAATTGAGGCAACAAAAAGGTGCTGGAAAACATCCATCAGATGCACATTCATGTACATCATCAGAGAGGATTGGATTTAGGAACTCACAAAAGCGACGTCAAATGTTCCAATCAAGAGTTATACAGGCAACAGGGAAACAAAGAATTGGAGACACAAATACATCAGAATTAGCCCAATTGCAGATTAAATGCTTCTGGAAAACACATTCCCTGGCTCTCTTCCAGGATTTTCTTATTTCACACTCCTGTCATTTCTAGCTGTGATGTGGAAGTCAGTGTTCCCTGCCCTCCTCTGCTGGCCTTCTTCAGGGAGAAGGAGTCGTGCTGGAGGGTGTGAGAGACGCCTGTTGTGAAGACACTGCAGGCTGTCACCCCAGCTTGGACTTGGGGTACTCTGAGGATGACACTTGGTGTAACTTCTCCATCCTTGTTCCTTCACATTTTGAAGTTTGTCTGCTTTGCAAAGCCACTGTTCTTGAGCAGAAGAGATAAATAGCGCAAGAGATATAATAACAACTCTCCTGCTGAGGGAAATATTTTGATCCTGGAAGGCCAGGAAATCCTGTTACCCATTTAAGTATGCATTCTAAATCTTGCTTGGCCTGCTTTTGAGCTCATTTGCACTCTAATACTTGGACCTGCAGACCGAGCTTTTATTCCTACAGGTCTGTTAGACTCAAGTTCTCTGTCTTGTCATTTTTAAAAGGTGCTTTGAGTTTTAAATGAGGGACAAAATATGCCAAGGACCCTCAAGATATCTACTGAAATGTAAGCTCACCTCAGTGCTTCCTGGAAAAAAGCTATCTCCAGGAAAAATTGCATCACACCTCATTGGACAGTAGTAATAGACCCAAACATTGTTAAAAATGCTCCTGATCAGTACCCACAGCTGTTGAGCTAATTATTCTCACTGCCTTGTCATAGACACTTATATGGTCTACAGGGCACCTGAGCATCTCACAATGTTTAGTATTGTTCTCTTCACATGCTTCTGAGAGACACATCTCCACCATCACCTCCTCCTCTCATTCATCCCCCATGGGATGACCTGGGATGAGGTGGTTGGGTATCAATTCCAGTTCTGTGCACTGTGGTGTTTTCCCTAGAACAACACTCATCTCACCAACTTTATCTACCCCAGCTTAAGACATGAAATTTAAGATCCCACCATTGATGGAAGGAGGTAGGAAGCACCAGAGGTCAATTATACTCATCTGAAGGTGGGGAGCCTCAAGTGGGCTAAATTCACATGTGTTTGTGGAGAGTGAGCCCAGGGATAAGCATCCCAAGCTGGACCATGCTATGGAACCACTATGATGCAATGGGAGCATGGCCTTAGGCTTTATGAAACCATGTGTGGTGGCAAACCACCCCTCCAGCAACCTGGGGATGGCTGGGAAGAACCTGAACCCAAACCTGAGGATGTCCTTCAGAGATACTCTTTGAGCTTCAAAGCTGAAGAAGGAAGCCTGCCAGTCCACTGCTGAGCTCTAAATGAGACCATTCAATACCGAGGGGAGGTTTTCCTCCTTGGTAGGATGGTGCAGGAGTCTGCCTGTGTGTCCTGTTTTTGATGGGAATTCTGTGGACTGGATTTGTCTTTGCCTTCAGTGAGAAATTGTCCCATGATTTTCCCTTGCACATCCTCCTGCAGATGCAATTCCTGTGTCATTCTCCCCTGTCATCCCCATAAGCCCTCAGTGCCTTGGTTTGAAATCCCCACTTCTGACCATGGAAAGTGTTTGTATTGTAGCTGGCATTTGTTGATTTTCTTTAGGTGGCTCAGGGCTGCAGGCATTCCTCATTACTTTTTTATTAGCCAATTTGAATACTCATTTAGCCTCACTAAGCGTGCAATGCCTTTTAATTCCTCCTTCAGAGGCCTTTGTGTAGAGCCTGTTCTTGGTGCTCAGTAATAGCAGAGGATCCCACCAATGCAACTGAGGTGAGAACGATAACTCATGGAACAAACCCATCAGTCTGGGCTCGTTTCATGCAGGTGACAAGGCTGAGGACTCTTTTTGTTTTGCTGTTTCCTTTCCTGTGCAATGGGACTGCCAGAAATCACAGCAGTACAAGACGTGGCAGGCTGACACAGTATGTTGCACCGGACAAACAGGTCTCCAAAATACTTTTCAAAATTAAATAATTAAAGTGGCAAGACCATAAACAATATAAATTATGGAAGTGGTAATGTGGTAATGAGTAATAATTTAAGTCATACAGCTATAAGGCTAATAAGAGCTAGAAAAAAGATTACCATAACCATTACATATTTTAAAAAACGATCAGAAGAGAAATATTATGTTTTGACATCCAGCTCTTGTGCACTGCTTTGGACCTGCTTTGCAGGTATGCTGCATATCCAACACAGACAACACAGACAAATTTTTTCTAAACTCAGATCAGGTAAGTAGGATGGGAATAGATGGTGGGATGAGAATTGGTCCTGTTATTTCTCAGGTTGCAAGGCCGAGTAAAAATCCACGTCTCAGGGATAGATAGTCACTGTGCAATATAGCCACCTTTGAAGGTAGAGGGTTGGTTGGGATTCTTCACTGCCCCTGGAAGGCTCTGGAGCCATTGCTGGGGTGGCAAAGGAGGGAACACAAGCACCATGGCTGTCTGAGCTGCGTTGTTGTGAGCAGGTACAAACCCTTGGTCTCTCTGCCCATTAGTCCGGCAGTTTGCTCAAGCGCTAAATCCAGTTCCACACAAAAAAGGTACATTCTGCTGCTTTTTCAAGTGTCTTGGATTCTATTGTGTACAAATTTCCAAATGAACTGCTTGAGTGTTGACTAATGCTGCAGCCTGCAGTCAAGGTAAGAGCCCATTTATTTATCGGCTCTTCAAGGACAAGAAGAAGCTGTATTTGTACAATCCTCCAGCACACAGCCTAACAAACAGTTACCTGCCTCAGCCACGTTTCAGGAGGACGATATATGAGACCCTCAAGGAAAATACACAGCTCAGCCATCGTCTGCTGGCAGGAAGGTCATGCGGCGCCACCGGCTCCTGATGATGGCAGAACTGCAAATGTATAAAGAAGGATTTTTTTCCTGCACCATCAGTTTGATTGGATGTGTGTCCAGGAGGTTACTCAGGACATCTAGCTGGAACTGGCTGGGAGCAGACAGTCCCGGCTGCCGTGTGTGCGCAGCACCCACTCGTTTAAATGAGGCTGTGTGTTTTCAATCGATGGGGCTGTCTGATCCCTGGATGCTGGGGAGCTCTCTTTTTCTATTTCCTGCTGATATTTACTTCAAAGGTGCATGACCACACAGATCACTTTAATAACAGGAGCCCAAAAGAAGAATTAATAAAACTCTGAGTGTGTTTTATCCTGAGATCTCACAGTGCTTGACAAAGGAAAAGCACCATCAGTTCTTTTTATATGGGGGCAGAAAGAGGTGAAATGATTTATTTATCCACATTCATGCAGTGAATTGGTGGTAAAGCAGTGAGCTGGACCTCTCCAGCTGTGCTTTGAGGCTTCCTATAACGTCCATTGGAACAGTCCTAAAGCATTTATCCTTCAAGAATGCGTCTTGCCCCTGCTGCTTTGTGCGGAAATTAGCCCTGTGAAGAAAAGTTCAGCATTGTGGTGGCCTGGGCTAGAGCAGGAAAACTGCAGAGTTCTGGTGTCCTAGAGCACATAGATGCAAACTCACGGTCAAAAAGGTAGAAAAGACACACAGCAAGGGCACTCATGAAATGGGCACAGGGGAGCATGAGATGTCTGGTGGATCTGTGATGGAAAGCCGCTTATTCAAATTCACTGCTGCGATGTTTAGAGGTTGCATTGGCTTGCCCAGTGGATATGCCCTTGGTGACAGTCAGAGGCCAGGGCTTCTGCTCAGCTGGAGAGGCAGCTGGGTGCTCTCCTAGCCCCAAGGTCCTTGGAGGCTTCAAGCAGACGTGAGCAAAGAGCCTTTCTGCCACGTCTGTGACATTTTTCTGCATTCACAACACAGTGTGGCTGTCATTAAGGCTACAGGAAAACAGCCACATCAGGGCACATCTAGAGGACAGAGATTGTTGACCACTTGTGCTGAACAGAGCAAAGGTCTGTAATGAAGCCCAGTGGGATGTGGTCCATCTGGCCTCTCAGCATGTTCATCAAAGCCTCGCTCTTCAGGGCAGCACTGAGGGCTGGCTGGGGCTTTGCCCAAGGGGCAGCCCGGGGGAGAGAGTGATCCTGGGGGATGTCTGCCTGCACTGCCCTTTGGCTGCAGCGACCTGTGCACCTCTGGGGGGTGGGAGCTCTGACAGGGCCACAGGGAGACAGGGAAAGACCAGAACTTCCCTGTGCTTTGCATCATCTGGTGAGGATGCACATGCATAGTGACAGCAACTTTGCAGGTGCCCAACAGACACTGGGAACCTGGGGTGTTTGCCTGGAATATTTATCCACTGCCAAATATTTAATTATGCAGGGAAACATACCACTTAGGCAGAGATGTCTTGGCTTCATTAAAGAAGCTGCAGAAATCATTGTGTTCTCCCCCTGGGCTCTGTGAAAGAAAATCCTGCTGATGGAGTCAATTGAATCTGGAGGGGCCACAGAGCTGTTGAGCCCCAGGTTAGCAGAGGATTTTGAGGCAGACACGCCCATGCCTGGGCCTTAGAGCACCAATGTAACCAAGCTCCCAGGCTGTTTTAGCAGGTGCCGTGAGCTGATTACAGAATTACAGTTCTCAAAGCAGCCCAGGGCCCTTGCTCCACGTGCCCACAGATTTCATTCCTGCAGATGAGACAGCAATGAATTTGCCATTCATTAACAACAAATAATATCTCTCAATCCATCTTGGGTAAGCGTCATTGTGGAATTGCTCTTTCACTTTCACTTTACAGGGTTCCCTGTGATAAATTTAGCTTGTAAAGGGTGATTAAGACACTTCATTATGTTTTAATGTGTCTTTAGGCCTATGTCTAACAGTAATGCTCATTCTGGATCTCCCTGGAATTTGCAGGCTGTTGCAGTCCAGAAAAGCTTGCATGTGGGGTATGAGTCTGTCTGGGCACCACATCAGTGGCCCCTGCCTCATGGTGGGGAACTTCAGGAACCCCAAGATGTGTCTCCACTGCTGGAGACAGTCCAGGTCAGTACATCAGCCAGCTGTGGGTCCCACAGGAGGAGATTAGGTTGGTCATTTCTTCCCCTTATCACCTAGTTTGTCCACCTCAGAGCACAGGTTTGCAGCAACAGTAAGGTCCCAATCAGCTCTGGCTGCCAAAAATTGTGTTTGCCACCAGAATTGGATTTTCTCTCTAACAAGCAGTTACACAGAGCCTTGCGTGGTGAAGCTGGTTCAGCAAAGTGCAAGGGGGTATTTGCATTTGCATCCCAAATTGCAACCCAGAAGCCCTCCATCCCTGATAAACCCTGAAGGTGGCTAATTCCTGTTTGGTGCCTTACTCAGCTGAAAACTTTATCCAGTGACACATAGGCACAGAAGCGCCCTGGTTTGGGAAGGTAGGCAATTATTTCCTGCCTGAAGGGAAAAAGTTCATCCTGTTCTGTGCTTTGTGTTTTCTACAGAGCAGAGCAGCTCTGATCGCTCCCAGGCTTCCTCAGCTGTTTGTCAGTCACCAACTCTCTTCGTGGACTATGTAAGGAGCCCAAGCACCTCATTAAGATGTTTTCAATTGCTCTCTGCAGCCACTTGCATTGCAATGCATTGTGTAAAACCTAAATTAGGCAGTGTGAAAGACTCACAGGAAGATGCCCATGCTTTAAGCATTCTATCTACATGAGAGGGAACATGGTCTGATCCCAGGAAAAACTTCTGCCCCATCACCTGGAGCTCTTTCGCTGCCATCCAGTGCTTGTTTTGTGTGACTGGCCTTTGGGCTCTCACAAGGTAATGGAAGTTATTTCATTCTTCCTGTTCTCTCACTTAACACTTCTGTTGCATAAACTATTCTAGTTTCAGTCTCCCCTCTTTTAGAAATCTGACCACCTATTGTTAAAACATTTTACATGTTCTGAGAAATTTTATACGTTCCATCTTCTTTCCCTTTCTGTTATTTTTGTGGGTACCTTATGAGTACTGAATGTGTTACTGTAGATAACAGCACTGGGAATTAAGTGCTTAGCTGGGAACCCTCGCCCATCCCTTCTCACATAGATTTAGTTTGGAGCAGGATGGCAGCCTTTAGCACAGGCAGACAAGATCTTGCTTGCTGGTTTTTAGGCGAGTATTAGAGCCTTAGGTCCTAAATCAGCCACGACATTCAGACTGGTGAGGGCTGGGAGGCTGTATCCTGTGGAAAGGTTAGTGTTGGGCTAATTCCTGCCGGCAGTTTGAGGTATCTGTGGCAGCCTCCCTCCCTCCCTGCCTTGAATTGCTGCATGGTGTTGCCACATACTGTTAAAGAACAGCATACTGGAAATGCAGCAGTGGAGGCATTTCAGAGGCAGGGCACACCATGGGATATGTGAAGCTCCCCACCTTCCTTCAGGATGAAGAGCTGCTCAGTGGCCTGTGTGTTAGTCCCTGGGACATGCAGGTTTATGGTCTGTGAGAAGAGCAGGGCGGCTGGCGCAGTCCCAGCGAGCGCCCTTCTGGTCTAGTTAGAGTCTGTGAGCATCAAATGCTTCCATTCATTTATCTGAGGGTGATAAGCAGCCTGGGAAATGCCTGCCTCAGTCAGGTCACATCCTTGCTCTTTTATGAATGTGACATCTTTAAAAGCATATCTGCTAATGTCACGAGAGACCCAGGGGAAATCCCAGCTTGGTCAGCTTGGTGCTAGCTTTCCTGAAATGCAGCTGGGTGCAAAAGATGCTCAGGTTGCTTTTTTACAGGACTATTTCTACAGAAAATAAGTGACTTAAACAGCCTTCTCCACTGAAAAAAAATAAAAATAAATCTGCACCATCTGGGACAAAGCTCTGCTCTTTAGACATGGCTGTAATGCATTCCTGACTGCAGCAATGGATTTTTGTGCCATGTTTTTGTCACTGGCACAGCTGAGCAAAGAAACACAGTTCTTACCACGTTGTCAGTTACCTTTGGGGTGGGAAGGAGAGGGTGACTGCTGCAACAAAATGGGCAGAAATCTGCCTGTTTCAGGAGAGTGAGGCTCTTTGTGCCCTGAGACCCCCTGTCTGTGTGGGTTTCCACCAGTCTGGTCTTCCAGGGA